GAATCCATTAAAAAAAAAATAAAAATAAATAAATTCATTTGCGCAGACGACGTAGCAGCGGAACCGCTTGTGCCCGTGTGTCTCAGGCGTGTCTTCTTCTCGCCCGCCACCTTTCGCAGCCCAGTTCAGAGTCCTGGGACCCGACCGCCCCATCACCGCCGTCATGGGAGAAGACGTCGTGCTGCCTTGCCGCCTCTCCCCCAGGCTGGACGCCGAGAACATGGAGGTGAGGTGGTTTCGGACCAGGTTCTCCCTCTACGTCCACCTCTACCACAGCGGGCAGGACCACTACTCCTCCCAGATGCCCGAATACCAGGAGAGGACAGAGCTTTTGAAAGAGGGCATCTCTGCTGGGAACGTCTCCTTGAGGATCCTCAGGACCAGGCTGAGCGATGAGGGACAGTACCAGTGTCTCGTCAAAGACGGGAATTCTTACGAAGAAGCCACGGTGGAGTTGAAGGTCGCAGGTAAGAAAACCAGGAGTCAGGGTTGTCTACAAGATGGACCTCTGGCACGCCCCATGTGCCCGCGACAACTCAGAAGTCCCTTTTGGTTTCCCTCTGCTCGGTAGCCAGCTCCTCGCAGGCATCTCCTGACCTGCCTGGCCTCAGATGCCTGCAGAATACGGACTGTCCCATCACCAAACCCCTGAGACCTCACAGCGACACCGTCCTCTGACCCAGGAGAAACCTCCTGGCTGCCCCGGGTCAACCACCTCCCACCCCAGCCCTGGCTTCGCCTCTAGCGTTAGCTTCCTTCAAAGGGGGTCCCACGGAAGGAGCAGGAGGTGGCAGAGCTGAACCCAGAGATACGTCCCTGCGCGGCTTTTCCCGTTAAGGATGCGGTCTCCAAATTGTCCCGAGGTGGGACATGAGGAGACATGAACACGGGCACCGCACGGTTCCCAGCTGGAGAACGTTGACCTTGCGGTTGGCCAAGCGTCTCCCGTGTCCCAGAGACAGCACTGTCCTCCCTAAACCCCGTCAGGTCCCACCTTGCGTAGTCCGCAGAGGGGGATGAGCGTCCTTCCGGGCGGAGATGGCTTCCATCTCACGACCTTCCATCTGCCGCGTCCTCCTCTTTAGGAGAGGCTGTGCGGGATGGGCTGCGTCGTTCCATGGTCGTCCTGCGACTCCGAGGACGTCGCTGAGGGTCAGTAAATCAGGCGCGGGCTGGCCCCGGACCTGAAAGTTCATGAGGTTTTGGGGTTCATTTGAGGAAGGAAGAAGATAGGAACAAGCGACACCAATTCCACCCCAAGCTCAGGTGTTTCCCCGTGAGTCTCTCACCGGCGCGGCCCTGACTTTGCGCCTGTGAATGGAAAAAGCTTTGAGAAGGTCTTCTCCGGGGCGGGCACGCAGTTCGGCTGATGGAGGCGGGGGGGGGGTTTCTTTTTTGGTCCCAGCTGCAGGTTCCAGCCCCCTCCTCTCCGTGGAGGATTACCAAGACGGGGGAATCCGAGTGGGATGTCGAGCAACCGGCTGGTACCCAAAGCCTGAGATGCTCTGGAGAGATTTCCAGGGCCAGCAGCTCCCGTCCTTCGCCCAGGCCGACTCCCGGGACCAGAACGGCTTCTTCGTGGTGGAGAAGTCCATCGTCATCCAAAGAAACGCAAAACGAAACGTGTCCTGTTCCGTCAGGAACACGCGGCTTCCCCAGGAGAAGGACTCGACCATTTATATATCAGGTGATTTGCCGCCAGAATTGAAGTTTTCAGAGTCGTACCTGAGAAATAAGGGGTTTCTCCCCCTAATTTTATGCACCCAATCGTTGCTGGCTGCACCTCAGGAGGCCTCTGGGCACGGGGGACCTGCCGCATCCCCAGGATGGGTCCTTTGGCTGCGGCGCTCCATACAGCACGAACGTGGGGTGGAGGAGGAACCGGTTTCTGGACCATCAGGGATCAAAATCGGGGATATTCAGAATTAATTTTTTTAGCAGAAAGTTGGTTTCAGCGTGGTTTTCTTAAGAAGCGTCGCTGAAGCGGGAATTTGCTATTGAAATCAAAGAATTTTCTATTAAAAAGCAGCCTCGGGTCTAAACAGTTCGATAAAGATGCTCGGAGGAGACCGAGCACTTGCAAGACACCGTTTTTCTACAGGTTCCCACCACAGAACCTCAAATGCAAGAACGGTTCCGATGGTTTTGGGGTTTTTTTGGTTTTTTTTTTTTTAATGGGGATTTCCTTTCGGCTTTGGGTTTCCAACGGGCTCACGTTACTAAACCGCTTTTATGTAAGAGCGTAACACCACCGCGTGTCCACGTGTAGCCACCTTCGCTCCGGCACGCCACGCGTACGCGTACCTGCATCCCCGATTAACGCCCTTTGGGGGCAATTTTTCTATTCCAGACCCCATTTTCCCGAAGAGCTCTCCCTGCATGGCAGCTTTGTTCGCGACCCTGGCTGCCGGCTCAGCTTCGCTGATCGCCTTGTCCCTTTTTGTCTTACGGCTGCGAGGTAAGGAAAGAGCAAGAGGCCTTTTGGGCACCCTAAGGGGGCATCTGAGCGCCCAAGACCACGCTGAATCGATATGGACCTTGCTCAAAGGAGGACCAACCCCCCCCCAGGCGTTTGAGACTCGCTAGAGCTCTGCCCCGTCGAAATATTCCAAAAAATATCACATTTTTTAGGGACCGGAAGCGTAGCCTCCGTCCCCAATAGCTCATGACCTTGACCGGGGTGAGCCATGAGAACCTCAAAGCAAACCACGGGGGATGCGACGCAAAGGAAGAGCTCCAACGGGAGCAAACGTCCCCGTTCCACAGCAAAACCCCTTCCGGCAGCCACCGAGCCAAAAAAAAATATACCCGACGTTCAGCCAACGCCCCCGTCGCGGGTCCCCCTCGCACGACGTAGGTGTGGGAGAAACCTTCCTCCACCCCACGTGACGTTCTCTCTTCTTTCTTACAGCCCAACATGCCGCGGAGCTTGGTAAGAGACGCTTTTTTCCTCCTCCCCCCCGTTAAAAGGGCACGTTTCCCGGTGGCGAAGGAGGGTCGGGCCTCGGGCGCGTGCAGGCGTCTCCGAAATTCGCTTTTGAAACGGCGCTTGCCGGGTAACTTCACGCCGAAAGGCCGTTCGAAAGAATGACGGGGAGTGGGAAAGGGTTGAAAAGCCTTCGTTTAAATTCTGAAGACACACCAGGAAACCCACAGAATTGGGGGAAAATCCCTCTTTTTCCCTCTTTTTTAAGCAAGCTCTGCCAGTCGTATTATCGGTGCCGAGCTCCTACACCCTTCTCCCTGCCCCAGGCCGCCGCCAACTTTCCCCGTGAGGAAGGAAAATTCCTCTTACGCTTATTTCTGCTTTCCCTTTCAGAGAAACGCGACGCCGAAATCCGTAAGTAACGTGGGGTTTTGGGGTTTGGTTGGTTTTTTTTGTCTGTCATTGAGGGAGAAATCAGAGCTGCGGGCGGCTGCTCGCCGCATCGTGGGGGTCCGTAAACCGGCGGGGAGGAAGCGGGAAAATTGGGGACCAAACAAAGCGCAGGGCTGAACCCGAGCTGGCCGTGGTGGAAGACCCAATCTCTTTGTTTTTCACGTAATAAAGCCCCGAGGAGACGGGCTGCGGCTTACGAAGCCCGTCTGTAGCACGCACGTTCGCAGAAGTTTAAATTAGGTCTTTGGGGTGGCTTTCAAGGGGAGCTTGGTTTTGGAGTAGGAAAATTTTGGAGTAATAAAAAGACGCTTCCTTGGTGTTGGGGGAATAAAATTTTGGCGCAGTAAGAACAAGCTTCCTCGTTTTCGGAGGAATAACATTCAAATTTGCACATTTCTCCCCAAAGGCCACCTGAGAAAGCAACAAACCCCCAACCTCTCTTCTTTCCCAAACTAAAATCGCTAGCTGTGACGGCGACGTGGCTAACGAAGAAGCGTCACGCAAGAGAAGGACCGAGAAACCCTTTTGCTCTTCAAATAAGGCCACGCCGCCCACCAAAATCCCGGTTAGGG